GCCTGTCAGGGAGGCGGGTCAGATAGGAGTGACACGGGGGCGGGGGGGAGCAGCTGGTCCTGGCCGCTGGCCCGCGCCTCCCGAATCTCTGACAAAAGTTTTCTGGCGTTGGAGAAGGAAAGAGAACGGATGGGACGGCCGGTGACACTTTGGGGTTCCCTCTCCCTCCCTCCTTCTCCTCACCTGCTTCACAGTCCCAAGTGTTTGGGGCTGGAGTCTCCTGTGGACCCGGCTTAACAAACCTCTGCCCTCCCGCTGGACAGTGCCGGGAGCCAGACGGGTAGTGGCAGCGTGTGACAGGGGGTGTCTGGGACCGGCCCTGCCTGACCTTAGCCGGGACGAGGGAGGGACCCTCGGCGTTTCTGGGGGGAGCACGCAGACCAGGGCTTGTTTTTGCTACTCGCCACCCCACCTCTGGTGGTGACTGCGTCAGGTCATTTTTGGGCCGCGGGGTTGTGGGGGAACCGGTCGGAAGCTGTTCGCTGGCGAGGCCTCACCAGAGTAGGAATTTTGGTTGATATTGAGTCCATTTCTCCTTGAAGGCAGGCAGTATTCTTAGATCTACTGTTCATTTAAAAAGAAGGAAAAGAAAAAAAAAATGACTGCTACTTACTGAGAAGAAAATTTCTGTTCTCCGCTGATTCAGCTGATCCCGCTTTATCCGCGCACCTTTGACCCCGCAAACATTCATAACCCATGTTGGTTTATTTATTTGTTTTTAGAAATTACGGTGACTATAATTTAGTAAAAGACGCTTACTCCCCTCTTCCTCCAAGTTAATAACAAATGCCTAACTAAACATCAGGATTCCTGTAGCTTCGGTTCCTGTATCCACAATTTGAAACGCTTATCTCAAGTACAGTTCCATTTGGCGATTTGGAAGCAAAACTCTAAATGAAGATCAAACAATATGTACTGCTTTATACCTGCTTCTTTTTGATAATTTCAGAAGTTATACTGTGTTTACACCTATACTGTGTTGGGATTGTTAAACGTACTTTCAGAGACTTCTGGAGATACCATTTAAAGTATGTTAAGAGCGTCAGATTGAAAGCAATACAGGATTTGAATGATCAGCATTCATTCAGCTATTTTCTTCATCTCATTCCTTCATCTGGCTTCTGTATCAGTAAAGTTAATTAAAAACATTTATTTTTATTCAATTTTGAATAAGTTGCTTCTTGCAAAATGTCTACTGCTCTGTGAACTTCTTAATCCGTTTTAAAGCAAAATAAGTTCAGTTATAGCTTTTTAAAGGATTCCGTAAGTCGTTGATTTGAGGAAAAAACCACTGGGCAACTGCCTCGTGATTGAGGTCTATGAATATTTTCCATATGTTGGACATAGTTGTGACGGAGATAATAATTACCAACAAAAAGAGTAATCGTATTTACTTTTTCTTTATAAAGTTTGAGGGTAAAGCACTGGCTTAAAATAGTGGTTTCAACTCTAATTTTGCAGTGCAGTTGAGAAGACTTGTATTTCAGAGTTTCAGAAAGTTTTACAAAATTATACTCTCCCAACAGATTTCAAAAAATACTTATCTCCTACTGAATTTCTTGAATGTGTGTTTTTGAAGCAATTATTTTAAATTGTGAAATAGAGACTTTTAAAGTGCCTTGAAAAAGGCATGTCTTACTGCTAAGTGAAATACAGCCATTGCAGGCTGAGACTGCTTCATCAATCTTGCAATTTCACTTCTGAATTAAATATATGTTAGAGAAGTCACCAGCAGTACACCCCAAATCCCTGACTGTGTGCTGAGCTCCTGTACTGTTCACAATGCAGTCTGAAGATTTAATACATTTTCACCAGAGAAAACTTAGACTAATCCGAGAAAGAATTAGGATAGATTCCTAATTAATATATGAGTATTGAACCAGTTTATTGCCTGGGTAACTTTTTCTCTGGTTGGAGAGAATAAATTACAATTTTATTTAAATGATTTATATTGTGTTAATCTTCTCGTATCTCCTGTTGAGCCAACTAGATTGTTTCAGTGTGTGAAGTGCAGGGGAAAAGACAGAAGAAAAAGAAAATTAGATTGTCCTGTTAGAGTTACACCCCACGTTGCTCCCTAATTAAAGGGCAATTGAGAAAGAAAATACAAAGCTGAGATACCGCTGTGTAATGCTGGGAGACCAGATCTCCCATTCTTCCAGGAACTTCTCTGGACAAGTAAGCTTAGGCACTCATTTGAAGCCATGGGATATACTTTTACAAAGATGAAACGTGATTGAGTTTAATCTACATAGGGGCTTAAAACAAGTCAGAAATACAAATACTGGGAAAGTCATTTCCTTTGGCAGGGGAAGTTGGCATAATGGTTATTGAAAGACTGTGAAAAAGAGAAGCTTCTCCTCATTCTTGAGTTGTATGTGAGTGGGCGTGGAGGCAGAGAGAAGCTCCTATTAATTTATCATGTATAGATTTCCCTAGTTTTTCTTTTAGTTTTTTTTTGTGTGTCATATCCCTCTAAAAGAATTCTGTGAAGTGACCACTTAGCATTGCTTCGTTTTCTCACTTCATGCTTAAAAGGATAGGTATTGAGTTGTTTTCTCGTTTTCTCACAAGGTGAAATAAAAAGGGCAGGGTAGGGCAGGGGGTGCCTCCTTACTTCTCCCTTCCCTTATAGCGAAGTAACTTTTTGCCTAGGATCAGCAATACATATCATTGCTCTGTAAGAAAAGAACTTAGGAACACTAGTTTCACCTTGAAACTTTATTGGCATCTATGACAAATGTTACAGTGACGGGGCTTGTAAAACAGCAGAAACTGCAAGCTAGCCCGGGTGAGCTTCTCCAATATATTACTAACTCCGTATCAGTTTACCCTGGGACTGAAGTACGCTTTCCACCAGAGCTCTGAATGCTTTGCTGCTGCTGCTGCTTTCTCTTAAAAATCAAGTGGTGCCTCCTGCCATATAAATGGGGGATGGGGCCCTTCCTTCCCCCTCTAATATTTCTGCCCTCATTTGCTGCTGGGCTGCCTGAAGTCATTGATTTAGTCAGGCTTCATCGGAGTGGCCTCTTCCCGGGTTCTGGGAGCTGGTGTGTTGCCTGAAACATTGTCACTTACTCTTGAAAAGTACAGAGAGACAGTCATGGGTGCGCCTGGCATGTCTGAGGAGCATCTCAGTTGTTCTCTCAGCAGAGCCCATTAGTTTTTCATGCCTTTTTTGTGAAGATGTGCTTCCCTAGGACCTGGGAGGGAGCCACTTTGGGTGTCTGGGGGGAGAGTTGGACCACCTTGCAACTTTCCCAGTTGGGGGAGGGGTCTCTGTCCCCTCCCGATTTACTGGAACCCTCCTGCGCAGGGAACAGTGCTGGAAACAGCGCCGTTGTGTGCATGGGTGTGGGAGCAGGGCTTGAGGCTCCCTTACTGGGAATGCCACGCTTTCCAAGGGTTTAGGGAGAGGGGCTGGGGAGAGAAAAGGAAGTCTGAGCCTAACACTGGTTTGTCGGGTTGCTTGCTAAGGGGTCAAGGAAAGAGATAAAGGAGGGCGAGTGTTTTCTGACCTTCCCTAGTCCCTCCCCACCCAGGTGGAAAACGCAGGTCCTGTTTGGGCAACTTCCAGCCCTGTGGCACACCAGCAGGCTTTTCGTGCTACCGGGGAACATCCGCTGCGCCCCTTCTGCCCTGCGCCTCCTCTATCAAAGACCAGCGAGCACCTTAGATTTCAGACGTGGTCAGGGTGGGAGAAAGCTTTGGCTTCAGTGCGTGGGCTTTTGTGTTTCTCTCTCTCTCTCTCTTTCTCTCTCTCTCTCTCTGTATGTGTGTGTGTGTGTAAGCCCAGCCTCATCCCGTAACACACATGATTTAGCTATTTTACATCTTTCGTTATCTAGCGCCCTGAAACTGAACACAGAGCCATATATTAGATTGAGGTTAGAAGAGGTGGCGACTGTTTATTTAAGGTGATAAAATGGTCCATCAGCAGTAATCTCCATCGATATGTGCCACCAGGAGATGAAGGATGAGGGGACAAGCCACAATTAATTGCCCTATAGTTTTGTAGGAGAGAGTGGAGCCAGCCCAGACCCTCTTCGATCTCCTCTCGCGGCTCCTATTCATCATCTCCGCATTGTATATGGCAGCCTCGCAGGGGCAGGGGCCGGCGAGGTTTATCTCCGCGCAATATTCTCTCACCCTCACAAACTGGCGCTCCCATTTAATTTATTAATACAGTCATCGGAAGACAAATAAGACCCACATTTTCTCCCTCCCACCTTCTTGCCCTCCTCCTTTTGTCTCTCCCTCTTGGTCCCAGGGCCAAGCCGGCAGCCAGGCAGGGCAAAGAACGCCTAGAGCTTTTGCGATTCGCCGGGAGCTTTAAACTCGCCTAGAGGGAGAGTTCCTGAGAGGATTCCCACGAGCTGGGCCGCCCCGCAGGGTCGAGACTGCAATCAATTGACTCCCCTTCCAGCGGCCAGGCAAACCCGCCTCGCCTCTGAATCTACTTCTAGACCCTCTCCCGGGGCTTGGAAGACCCCTGCCGGGTGGAGGAGGAGGGCCGGGTGGGTGGCGGGGTGCAGTGGGGACGTTGGATCGTGGATGATGTCGGCGGCCACGCCTCATGTTAGAAGAGAGCTTTTCGTGGGCAGGAGCGGGGTGGGACCTTCAAAACTCAGCCTTCGGCCCTGAGGCCTGGGCGCCCCACCCCGCCCATCGCTCCCCCTCAGCCATCCCATCTAGCCTATAGCTCGAGAAGGCAGTGGGGGGAGCGCAGGCTGGAGCCCCGGGGGCGTGAACCCCACGCGGGAGGTTCGGGTCCGGGCACTCTGCCTGCCTACCCTCTGCCCGGCTGCCCAGCCCCCACGCCCCTCCCCGCCCAGGGCGCACGCGGCACTGCCAGCAGGCTGCACTCCCGGGTCCTCGTCGCCAGGCTGGGATCGATGGACGCCGGCCCCTCAGATCTCGGCCTGTGGGACTGAGGGCCGCGACCTTGGCAGCGGTAGGGGAGAATTTACAGCCCGGGTGGGTAGTGCCGCCCAGGCGGGGAAGCAAGCTTTTCACCTACTCCTTGATTTCCTACGTACAGGGTGGGTGAGAGCCAGCGAAGGCCTCGGGCAGGTACTGGGGAGTGAAAATGTGGTGTAGCGCGCACTCCCCGCGCGCCTACACGTGACTGTTGGCCTCTCCACAAGCCAAAAGCCCAGAAGCGTTTTATATTTCACCTTTCCTAGAACGAGAAATGAAATTCCAGAAAAGAAAACCATGGTCTGCTTTGCTGCCTTTACCTTAAAATAGATATATTGTAAAGATCTATTGCACTTTAAAGACATTGAAACAATACAGAAGGATAGGAAATTAAGAGTGAAAGTCTGCTCTTAGCTGCACTTGGCCTGGCCTTCTGATGCCAGTAGGTGAACAAGTCTGTAACCTAATGACAGCACCTTCCCTACCCTTAAACAGGAGCATTGACAGATTTATTCAAGATAGAAAAGGAACCATGGTCTCTTATATTACCTAATGCTAAAATGGCATTTCAAAGTGTGTTGCTTAGAGCATATGAAAGTATCTCTCACAAATGTAAAAAAAAATTTATGAATAACAATTATGAACTTGTACAAAAACTCTTCCCCTGATTTTAAGAGAAAGTATGAACATTTACTTGCTTCCTTGTTAGGAACTTAAGTAGTTGTGTTATGTATTGCTTGCCCTGGAATGCTCTGTGTGTGTATATATAATATAATGACATATATACATTTATACATAGTTTGGGCATATAGCCTACTTCTCTTTCAAACCTTTTCATGTAGGTGTTTATACTCTGCTAGAATGTTTGTCTTGAGCATATTTGTCAACCCCAAGAAATGTTACTTGTTTTGAATATCCTCAAGCTACCCTGAGACTCAGACATAAGTTAGAACCCAAATGTTTCAGGTGGGGGAATTTTGTGTATTAAAAAATAACATTGGAATATAACATGTATCTTGATGGCAGTTGGTCAACCTTTCTGGCAGAATATTTTGATATAGCATGAAGTGGTTCACAAATTAAGAAGACCTTTGTTGGGTGCACTAATTAAAGTTGATTGACTTTGTCTAGCCTGCTGTGGACCTAACACACAGGTAGTCTTCTAGATATTGGTAGAGCCTCAGTTTTTCAACTCTTTATGGAGACAAATGAAACAATAAGTTGAAGATGGCTTTAGAGGACTTCTTGGAGAAAGGCCTTAGCCACAGTTTTATTATCATGCATTACAAATATTAGAAGTATGCTTTTGTCTATGAGGGTAGTGGTACCTATGCTGATGTAGTTGATGGGATGACGTGTGGAGAACCATGTTGGAAGTTGACAATCTCTGGTACAAGCTGCTAGGGAATGAACACTAAACACTCTTGCTTCTCACCATTTGCATCATTGAGTTGAGCAGAAAAATAAAATAAAATAAAATAAGTTAAGCAACTCCCTGGAGTGACTTATTTCTATTTCCATGGGCATATTGCCTTTGCTTATTGTCATTTGCTTTTACCTATTTTTGCAAAGGTGCTGAAAGGCTGTCTCTGAGGTCAGACAATAACATTCAAAATTATAGACATTATCTATGTATTTTCCTATCCATTCTCTTACTTTAATGTCTGAAAACACAAGAGTGTGGGAAAGAGGGAAATCTCTATAACTCAGTCATGCTACAGCAATTTTCATGGCCCCCAAATAGTTACTTCAGTGAAATATTTCAATTCAATTGAGTCTTGAGTTTGAATGTTAAATTCTCCCAGCTTTCATTAGTCTTTTAAAAATCTCTGGGTTTAGAGGCCTTGCAGTCAGGCAGCTTTGGCTGTGAATCCTTTCTCTGCCACTTTCTAGCTTCTGGTTCTTGGTGGAGTAACAGGGCTTGGAAATTGCTTTATCTGCAGAATGGGAATCGTGATACTTAGATAATATGCTGGTTGTTGGTTTCAGACAGGTGTCTCACACATAGTATGCACTGTAATTGTGTTTATTGTCTTTCATGTAATTCCCAAAATGTCTTGAAGTTTTTATTTTCACAATCAATAAGCTTGAGAGGGTGTGTGAAGTGTGTGTGTTTCAGAGGGGCTGACATATGGATAAGTGTGAGAATACTCCATCCAGGCCCTGGGGTCAAAAGCAGAGTCTGGAAGAATTTTAACAACAGTTCGTGTTGTTGGTAGAGGAGGGACAGAAAAGGGCATTTGTGTGAGGGAGACCCAGAGGCATGGACACTTCTCTACTTTGGGAAACAAGTTGTTGCTTTTCACCTCAGAGGTCTGGGGACATTTCTGAGAAGCTTGCGACCCTAATTCTTCAGCTCTCTTGGGAGGAGTGGAGTAGTAGCTGCTGACTGAAGGGAAGGCTTGGCTGGCTAGAGCCCTCTCCAGTGAGACAGGATGCTTACATAGTCAGCCCTCCTTTGCTGCGAAGCAAATGGCAAATCGAGGGTTCCCTTACCATGCTGGGTTGCGATTAGGTGTTCCTTACACAAAAGTTCCATACGGACTCACAAGTTTCTCGGGCGTTTCGGCCATTTCAGCGCAGATAAGGCACATCCAGGGTGATCCACCAGGTCTGGCTGCGGCCAAGGCCTACGGCAGGTGCCTGGATGCCACGAGGGCCACCCCGCCGCCCCGCGCTGGCACGTCCACCGGTGGCCAGCTTTCACCGTGTCCGCCAGGCGGGACTTGCCAGGTGTCAGGCCCAGTGCCATAGGCCTGACACTTGCGCGGGGTCACCGTGGCTCCTCAGGGAAGCTGGGCCAAGGAGGCTGGGTCGCGCCGGCGGGCGCCGAGGCCACCTTCTCCGGGCGGGCCCTCAGCGCTGAGGCGCAGACACGGCGGCTCCTCCAGGCCCATTAATAACCCGGAGGGCGCTGCGATCCGACAGCGCAGTCGCCACAGGCTCTGTTTCCCGTGGCCGCCTGCCCCCTTCCCGCCCAGTTCGAGTGGAGGGATACTGGGCGCCCACTGCCGCCCGACCCGGAGGGTGGGGGTCCCTCTTGCGCATGCTGCTCTAGGGAGTGTCAGAGAGAGCGAGCTTCATCAACAGCTTCACCCATTGCATAGCAAGACAGAATCGCGTTTAGCCTGGAGAACAGCCGTCGGGGCAGGAGTTGGTGCCTTCTCTAACAATTACGCTGATCGTTAAATTTGCTATTCGTTTCTTTCCGGTGTCTAGGAAGAGCGTATACACCAAACCCTCCAGAACAGCACCCCCGTCTCCCACCCTGCCCCACCTGTCCCCGCCCTGCTTCAGTGCCTGGGGGAGAACTGACTGGTCGCTTGAGGGACCCCAGTGCGGGCGCGCCTTTGGAGTCCTGGGGCTGCGGCTCCTGCTCTACTGGGCTGCAGGCCTGCTCTGCCCTGTCCCGTGGGCGTTTGGGAGGCAGTCGAGGAAGACTCCGAGTCTCTGGGTCGAAGGAAGTGTGAATGGCACCCGCGATAGACTCCCCCCCGCCCCCCGTCCGGTGAATTTAAATCGTCTCCTGTGTAATTGTAAAAAGAGGAAAGCTAAATATCCAGACGAATAGTATGGAATCTCTTCGAGTTAGCAGATTGGGCAAGAGACGGGCTTTTTCCCCCGCAATACAAGGATAAACACATCCTGAAACTCCGGATAGAAACCTTAGGAATGGGCGAAAGGGTCAGAAGCAACGAGATACAGTGGGGAAGAGAGAGACAAAGAGAGACAGAGACAGAGGGAGAGATGCAGAGAGACTGAAACCGGAAGGAGAAGTCTGGAACTATCGGTTCCGTGGAGAGCGGAGATGCTATCTGCTCCCAGATCCGAAGGCTTTTTGGGGAGCCTAGAGTCCTGGCCCGGTACCAGGCAGATCTGGGCTCGGCGAATTCCAAGGGAGCGGCGAGGGTTCTCTTCTCCTCCTCCTCTGAGTTGCTTTGGTGCCCCCAAGGCATCACCTTCCTCGAAGGTGGCTTACCCAGGCGGGCGATGATGCTGTTGTCTCGGGAGTTTACTCAAAGTTGGTCCCCTCGGAGCGGCCGGATTAACCCGCTCCCTTCCCTTCCTCCTCCTTGTCTCCCGCAGGTTGCGATATGTGCGCGGACAACCGCAACGGCGAGTGCCCTATGCACGGGCCACTGCACTCGCTGCGCCGGCTCGTGGGCACCAGCAGCGCTGCGGCCGCCGCACCCCCGCCGGAGCTGCCGGAGTGGCTGCGGGACCTGCCTCGCGAGGTGTGCCTCTGCACCAGTACAGTGCCCGGCCTGGCCTACGGCATCTGCGCGGCGCAGAGGATCCAGCAAGGCACCTGGATTGGACCTTTCCAAGGCGTGCTTCTGCCCCCAGAGAAGGTGCAGGCAGGCGCCGTGAGGAACACGCAGCATCTCTGGGAGGTAAGTGGCCCGCTGCACAGTGCCTCGCCACCCAGCAGGAGCCTTGGCCGGCAGGGAGCCTGGCCTTTGGCGATGGCAACTGCGAAGAGAGCCTCCCTTGGCTTCCGGAGGGTAGCGGAGAATAGATTTCTCTGGTCTTGTAGATGCCTGGTGTCTGAGGCACCTGCAGTAAGGAGGCTGACAGAACTGGGGCTGACACAATAGCCAGGGAAACAGAGCCTACAGGTGTCTGAAGACAGCGTCACCTTAACCTACCTCCATTCCAGCTAGAATGGATTTGACTGTTGGTCTCTCTGAACTTTGAGAAAAAGAGAAAACAGCTGAGGAGATGGAACAGAGGAGGGTGGGCATTAGAATGTTTGAGCTGGGTGACCTTTATGTCCCATTCCAAGCACTTCCAGTGTGCTTCTGTGTAGTGAGCAGAAAGGAACAGAAGCACAGAGGGGAGGAAGGAGAGACTGGCCCCTTTTCTCAGATAAAAACAATTTTGTCAGTGTTGAACGTGAGAGACCACATGTTTCACAACTTTCAAAGGACCCAAAGTAGGCAAATTATATTGGGAATCAGAAATCACAAATTCTGCTGCTTCTCTGATGAACGGAAATTATGTAGTCTTCATCAAGATGGAAAATCAGAACGTGGAAACACTGAACACTTTGGTGTAACCCAGTTGAGGATAATACTTTAATGGCACAATCTTACCTGAAGCAATTATTTTAAAATAACCTATTTGAAAAATGTCAGCCTGAGGTTTCTCCCAAAACGTCATGGTGGATTATTGAGGTTCACTTCTGAAGAGATAGATGCTTATCATTAGGTAATCCTCCTACCAATCTTAGACACCTCCATCCAAGGAAAGTTGCTTATGTAATACAAGATGCCAGAAGTCATACCCTCAAGCAATATGTAAATCTGACTAACTGGGAAAGTGGTAGAATAAAGTGGGAATAGCTAGAAAATCAAGTTTCTTAAATGCCAGGGGCCAAGTTGACATGAACCCCTGGGCTCCATTAATGGGTCATTTCTGCAAGAGATTGCCTCTCATACTTGGCTTGCTGGCCTGTCAAGATGATCTTTTTCACTGTGAGCTGCTTTATATTCACTAAATAAAACTCATGGGACTCATTAATCCACTCAAAGTTTTGATGAGTGTCCACTCTGACCAGCACTGTATTAGGCCGTGGAGATACAGTGTGAAAAACAGACCTGGTGTCCAGAACCCTCCCGTGACTATTGGGGATGGGGTCCTGAGGCCTGTGTCTGCAAAACCTGTTTTGATGGAGGAGGAGCTGAGTGTATGAGTCAACAGCCCGGCAGCCCAAAATAAGAACATAGAAGCCAGTGAGCTACCTACCCTATAGTTATCTCCTGGAGTGTCCTGGCTTAAAGCATCTGGTTTGGAAACATTTTTGGTTTTGTTTCTGACTAATTAGTTGTAACCTCCAATGTGGTTTAAAGTTTATAAAACACTTTCAGGTACTTCTTATGTTCCAGTGGTGTTATTAGGAACTCTAATATCGTATAGTTAAAGGTCTGCCAATATTTTTCTAAGAAAATCGTACAGCAATTGTTTAATAGTACAAATTTACTCTACCTGAATATGTTAAAACTGAACACTATTATATTGCACTTTGATGCCTATCTATTTTTAGAGTGCCAGGGGACAAAGACATAAACATGAAAAAAAATCTCACAGTTCATTGTGGGTTTTTCCCCCCCAGAAGGCTTTGAATGATTGGGACGTTGGCAGGAGGCCACTAAACATATAGACTGTAATAATGTATATTAACACTGAAAACTATGGAACCTTTCTTTTCTACCTTTACTTGTACTTGATGAAGTTAAAATTTTGTTGTAGTGAAGAGAGTGGGGAATTTAGCCAGTGTTTTTCTTTTTCTTGGTACTTCAGTAGATATAAAGTGAATTTTATCTATTGTTCAGGGCACGTGAGTTGAATGCGCTGGGGTGGTTCTTAGAGTTGGTTCTCTGTTAGAAAAAAGACTTGCTGGGTGTATGCTTGGATGATCTACAGGATCCAACTCCTAAATTCAGGACATAATCTATTTTTTAATTATCTGTAGCAACAGTTAGAATAAGATACATTTGGGAATTGAAGGGATATTAAAACTTCAGCCATACAAAATGTGTCAGTTTCCTGGGAGATCACGTGAAATGCGACTAACTGGGGCCAGGTAACTTAGTGCCAATGTCCATTTGTAAAATAAAATACTTACTTTATAAAATAGGTTTCAGATTTTTATTAGCATAATGATTTTTAAGATATAAAGTATGGGTTTAAAATTTTTAATCATTATAATTTATTTTTATGAAACATGACTGTTTGAATTGTTACATTTATAATACAATATTCCAAATGTTAGATTGTTCCTTAACTTTTAGTTCTTTCTGTAATACAATATTCCAAATGTTAGATTGTTCCTTAAATTTTAGTTCTTTTCTTTAGTTCTTTCTAAATTTTATTCTGAAATTTTAAAAATCATCATATTATTCATATTAGAATCAGTAAGTGGAACACATTGTAGGTATAAAGGAGATGTTTGGCAATAATTGTTTAATGACTCATGTAATAATTATCCATTTCAAAAACTTTTTCTTTTAGATGTCTTCCAGAATAGCAAGTCAACAAAGTGTATTAAAAAATTAAAAACAGTTGAATCATGATTATTTTATTTAAAAGGCAACTGTAATCATTTGTCTTCCGCACATTTTTTCAAGTCATTTGCTAATGAAGAAATGTCTTTTTATTTCAAGTTCAATACTCAGGTCCTGATGGATCTTACCAGGGTTACTTATCTTTATTTCAGTACAATAAATGGATTGCTAATCTTTTCCCGTCACTGTTTCCAAGTAGATGATGGATTTTTGTTTCAGTTTACAGTTCATTGTTTTTAGTAAGGTTGTACTTTATTATACACATGAAGGCTTATTGCAGAAACAATCAGATTCACCTTAGTTACTCCTTTTATTTAATCATTAAAAGCTCTATTTTCTTTGTAGAAAAATGACTTTTTGTTATTTAATATACATCAGCCATGGAGAGCTTGTTTGGTTTGTAAGCATGTAATCATTTTTTTCAGTTAATATTTTCTTTGTGTATAATCATAGTTCTTCAAAATACAGCAATTTAAAGAAAGTTAAATATCATTTCATTACATTCAATATGTTTTGACTCTTCAGGGTGTTTATGGGAAATTCCAAGAGAGGTTTTTTTTTATTTTTTTATTTTTTGCAATAAGCCAAGGTAATTTTTTAGTTTTTATAGTTTAAGAAGATTACAAGCTAAAAGCCAAATCATTAGTCATTTATTTTTGCCAGTGTCTTCTAGAATCAGAATTTTAATGTGTTTTTTAAGCAATAATAAATTCAGATACTTTAAAACAAAACATTGCAGGATGCATCAGACAATGACTTGCCTTGGTTATATATATTTATTCCAAGACTTGGATGCATGATACATTTCTAGCTATTTGGACTTAATATGAAATAAAATCTTTCTCAATATTTTCCAAAGAAAACAATCTTTCTCAGCAATTAGGTCTTATTGATGAGAATGAGATAATTTTATCCTAATGTGTTTTCCAATAAAGAAGTGAAAAGGCACATTTGATTCCAACATTTATGAAAACATTATCTCAATTATTAATGTGCCCCCTTTCCCTTGAGATAAATTAATCTAGTTGCACATGGTTTCCTCTTTCTGTTTAACATCAGAATTTAATATGACTGGACCTGAGGAATGTACCCAGTGTATACTTAAAATTCTACTGGAATAAAATACGGAAGTTTAAAATAAGGTTACAGTTTAAGATAGGCTAGAATTACTCAGGCCTTTCAACTCAGTGTCTGACTTGACAAGAAATTTTAGCAAGAATGACAAAATAAATTGCACTTATTTTCACCCTAGACAAATTATCCTGCTAATTGAAATAATGTAGGGACTTGTTAGTGTTACAGTTAAGATACTAGAAAGGGCTTTAATTTTACAGAACCTGTCTTCTCTTTGCCTGAGTAAATTTGAGTGTCTCGTTTTCATTTGCACTATGTGGAAACCTTCATTATTTTTCTTTAGAAAATCAAGGGGGATAACATAATGTGAGCCTTTCTGTGATTTGTTTTGTGCCATAATATTTTAGATTTAATAAGAGTTTTGCTGTTAAGCAAATGGTCTATTTTTCATCATTACTGTTTAGCTTAAGTCAAGATATATTAATGAAAACCAATATTAAAAATATATTACATATTGCTAAATGTTTATTTTTCAAAACCATCATAGGTAGTTGGTTCTAGAAGAAAATAAATTGATTTCATATTTTAAATATATGTATGTTTCTATAAATGACTCAATTTCATATTTACAGTACTGTACCCACTTATATGTATTTAGATGTTGAAAAAATTATTCTAAATTAATCATTTTCAATTAAATTAGAATCATTTAAAAGTTGTCCCAGTGATAGTATTGTAATTATATATTCCATATTCTGTTTTATAGACTTTGGCTCATTTTGGCGTGATTCACCAAAACACTAGGGGATAGAATTATGTAGTTGTCGCAATTATATTGAAGTAAAAATCATGTTTTTCAGCAATTTATCATTTAATAGAGTAGTCTGCCTGTCAGTTTGGTTTTGAATATGTCAAATTTGTGAAATTCAAATAATTTCTCCTTAAAAATAAACCATAGTAATGCTACTATTATGTTTTAAATTATGCAGAGTAACAGCTGGTGTATCTCTCTGGCTTTGCCTCATTTGATTTGAAGATGTCTTTTATAGTGGTGCCCATTTGATAGAGTGTGAGCATTTTGTAGTTTTACATAAACTGTAAAACCATCTGCCGCCTCTTGGAATGGTTTCCAGCATTGTGTTAAAAGTCAAAACTTAGTACTTTAAGTTGCTTTGAAAATGTCCATTTAAAGTTCTGGTCCTTTTGGTTTATGTATCATACTGCACAGTGCCACCCTTGGTTTTCTAAGTCCA